CAGACTAAAACCAAAAATAATCGATTTCAAAATTCAACAGAAGGGGCAAAATGGGTTCCGAGCAATTTCCCCAATTGACTCCCCCCTGCCGCTCCCTCTCGCTCAATGAGAAAATTCTGGGGCAAAACGGGTTTGTTTATCGTTTTCCGACTTGACATCCCTCCTCTCGCTCATTCAGAAAATAAATAACAAATGGGGCGAAATGGGTCTGTGAGACATTTCCCGCTTGACTCCCCCCCCCCGCCACCCACAATAATGTATTGCGAAATTCGCCAAATGGGGCAAAATGGGTTGGTGCTAATATTCCAAATCAACCCCCCCCCCCCCCCAAACCTATCTAATATTCATAAGTGAAATAGAATAAAAAATATGCCTGCGACTGCTGACAGTTTACCGCCGACTCGATAATTTAACACTGGCGCCATCTCGCGGCATTCTCCCATCTGAACTTCTTTACCACACAGCACACCATCAATAATTTCTCCTAATTATACAAAATAACCTATTAATGGGTATTAATTGGGACCAATTGTTTGTCTATCAGCATTTAAATAATTTTTTGATTATATTCCAATCATTTTTGGCCCATTTTTCGCCTTAAAATGACATCCATGCTACATCCATGCTACAACATGGGTCCTTATTCGCCAGGGTACTTCGCTATTGAATTGGAAAATCACTTGCTCACCCTTCGGAAATTACTCGCCGCTCATTTTCAGTGCGAGGAAAACTGATGAATTCATTCTCAAGCTGTAGAATGGCTTCTGTAACATTCTTAATTACGCGGCTCACATTTGGCTGAGACATTGCAATGTCCATAGACTCTCCAACGTGACTTTGATAGCTTCCAGTAGCCAAAAAGTGCAACGTGCATAAGATCTATAATTGGTGATAAATTAATGGTTGATAATTGGTTAGAAATTAATGAACCTCTAATGTCATTAGCATTCAATATTATCCAAACTGATCTGTGTCGACATCGTGGATGTGAAGCCTTCAGTTGGCAGGTGGGGTTCCACTCGTTCACACAGTTCTCGTATAAAATCCTTGCTAACCCTGTTTTTAGAATAAATATTAGAATAAATTCTAATTAATAAGGGCCAAAAAATGAATCCTCTGAACCAATTGAACCTGTAGTATTTATTGAAGACCGAGTCCGGCAAATCTTCAAGGGGATTTGAGGTACGTCTAATTGCCCTACGTCGCGCATCTAATAATCTACGTAAGCCTCGTTGATGATCCTCGGCTTCTTCATCAACTAACACTGCACCTGCTATATTATCCGCAATCATCACGATTGTTTTGGTTTAAATTTCCCTAAGGATGACTTATCATGGCTCTCCCAAATGTCAAAAGAATCTGACAGATTTAAGGTTAAAAATGCGTTCACAAAATCATCAATTCGTGTCATTTAGTATTGTGTAGCCCCCTCGCGGGGTAAAATTGCAGTGTCGAAAAAGCGGCGGAAAAAGCGGCTTTTTGGTGAGAATAGCCCCCCAGAGCCTCTACTTTAGTCAATCCTCTTTGCTGCCGAGTTACCCGCACAGGCAGTTCGCCAAGCCGTCAGTAAGGTATGATACAGGGAGGTATGGTGAGGCTTTGATGTTGCCGACACCGAAACAGGGGACAAGTTCCAACGCAAGCCACGCGCGGCGCTGTTGCGTCCCTTCCCCTCACGCGGATTAGATCTCCCACCACACGCCGATTTTACTTGCGTCGCGAGTTCAAATCCCCGTCAAATCAATTTTTTTTTTTTTCATGAGAGAGAAATAGTATATTTCGTAACGAGTGCAAAAAAGTAGTTTTTGGCGAGTGGGAGGTTTATAACACGGGCCGAAGGTGAGTGATATAATTTCACGAGCCAAAAACCACTTTTTTCACGAGTTACGAACAAAATTTTTCATCACAATGTGTCGGAAAGTTACTTCTCCGATACAGCGTGATGAAAATAAAATTTTGTGTTCAATCGAGAGGAACAGGATTAAAAAATGTTGAGATGAAAACTATATGATTCTCAGCAAATAGTTCTATGGGATCGAGCGATAAAGATTGACTGAGAGTCATGTCGACTAGACGATTGAAATACTAATTAGAAGGAAGAATAATTAACATCAGAAGTCCATTTAATTAATTATTCCTCTTCTCTTCAGTGAAGCTTAATAGGGAAGAATTTGGAGGGATGGGATTACGATAATGAGGATCCCAGTTTGAACTATGTTTTTTAATGTTTTCTTCTATGAACAAGTTTTGAAAAAGATACGAGGGTCATAATGGTCACGAGGGGTGAAATAAATGAGGTACAAGGGGTTTCAAGAGCCACAAAAAAAAAAAAAAGTCCCAACTATTCACTTACGCACCTCACACAAATAACAATCGTTCTTTGACACTTGATCACTCGATAGCAAATCACCGCTTTTTTCCAGCCATTGTCGTCGCTTCTCAATTTTTTTCACACTGGGAAGGGAGAAAAAACGATAATTATCCCTAGAAGATGCTTTGCAATTTATAATTGCACACGATTTAATCATTTTACATGAATCAACTCGCACAGACTGTTCAGATCTATTGGAGTACGTTTTGGAGCAGACATAAACAAACAACATTCGCGAGATATTTTCGCGCGAAAAATAAATATTGTTCAACATTAGACAAAAATGAATTTTCATTTTATTTTTAATGCTATTATATTGAGCAGTGATTTCACTCTCAATCTTGGTAATTATTTTCAGTAAAAAAAGAAAGAATTCACCTATTATAAGATAAAAATCACCCCATTAATGAAAGAGTGAGCGGGCCATTGACTATTAAAGAAATAGTACATGAAAAACCAAGAATATATTTGCATTTTTTTATTTTTCTTCGCATTGTACATGTAATTTCATACGGGGCTAATTATTTTGACTTAAAATATCAATTTCATAACGTTCCCTCCAGCAAAAAAAGTGCCAGTGGTGGGAGACTAAAGGAGTTGAGGGGAAGCGTAAGTCGACCGGAACGCCGCTTCTGGCGCTCCGGCGAACTTGTCTCCTGTTTTCTGGCTTCCATACCTGCTTGTATCATACCTTAGCCGTCAGATTCGACCGTGGCGCCATCCCTCCATTGGGGTCGAACTATTGTTGGCTTGGGGTCACTTCAACCCCGAGATCTGAGCCTCTACTTTAGCCAATCCTCTTTGGGGACACTCCAGAAGCAACGTTCTCCGTTAGAGGGGCCCATATATCGTTTGGAACCGACGGCCATTTTGTGGTTATCCAAGAGCCCGGTCAGTCGACGCCGGTGTCGTTATTTCTCCGTGACAGCGGCTCACTGTGTGCGAATAACTACATACCCTGATAACGTGAGAAGAGGCGCAAAGCTCGAGGTGAGAACCGGACAGTGGCGGAGGTAGTGAAAAAAAAAGTTATAATTCCCCGCATCGTTTCCACCGAAAATCATAAGGCTCCAGATTTTCATTAAAACAGCAGAAAAAAAACGAACTGAAAGAATTTGGAGATTTCAGAAAAAGGTGAAATTGACTAAATAATCGTAATTGCAGATATAATTTTGTTGACGGTAAAATGGCGGATCTACAGGGAACACCGGTTAGCCAGGACGCCCTATCCGTTGGACAACTGGAGCTGGGGAATAATCCAAACGCACTGGCGTTACGCAGGCCTTTCGATCCAGTTGCACATGATCTTGATGCCACTTTCCGTCTGACGCGTTTTGCTGATTTAAAAGGATGAGGGTGTAAAGTCCCTCAGGAGGTACTTGGTAAACTCCTTGAGGGACTACAAGCTGATGATGGTAGTGCACAGGATCATGAGCATGCACACTTCATGCACATGGCCATTCCCAGAATTGGTAATTTTTCAATTTATTATCCGATGTCCTTAGGATGAGAAATAAAATTTTCCGCAATTGTTTTTTCTTCTACCAGTTCCTCCTACTGGTGGGGAAACGGATAGATGCTAATATCATTAATATTAATAAGAGAAATGTCTCATTAACGCGTTTATTGATCCTTTTTTCATTTGGATTTTGACGAGCTTTTTTTAGATGCATGTTTTTGTAGTAAATATGACGTTATTCAATGGCTACGAAGAATGAAGGTGGATAGGATAATATGAAACGTAAAGAAAAGATTTTAAGCGAAATACGAATTCGCCCAGTTTTTTCCGGCGTTCATTTGAATGCAACTATTGTATGAATAATTGGGGTACAACTGTTGGTATAGCCGGGCCTTGGACAATATGGCGGCCACACCACTCCCGCCAAGGGCTTCTCAATACCATTTTTCAAATTTTTATGACGTTTATTTCTTTTAATTCTGAACCATTTTATTCATTGAATTTCTTGTCTTGATTAATTTTAGGGATTGGTATGGACTCTTCAGTAACGCCACTCCGACATGGTGGCCTTAGCTTGGTGCAGACAACAGACTTCTTTTATCCTCTAGTCGATGATCCTTACATGATGGGTAAGTAGAACCGTTTCCGGAAATAGAAACAAAACTAGTAAATAAAGAAGAACAAATTGCTATGTACTTCCTAATTTATTGTAATTAATATCAGTAGTAGAATGGTGAAGTAAAGGCGATGAGTCCAGATGGAATGAAAGGATTTTAATGGTTAATAACTTCAAAAATGAATGCATAAAAATTCTAAGAAAAATTTATACATAATCTGTCAACTACGATGAATGTTCTATAAGGAACTTTGATTCAGTGTTATCGTTGTTCTTCCCTTTAAGGTGTTTCATGTGAAATGTCAAAATAATAAAAACAAATCCATTACTAAGCCTCGGGCGGCAATCACGCGGATTAGGATGTCTGTACGCCCGTGTTGCATACACTATTTTTCGTCGCCTCTGTCATGGAAAGTTCGATACACAATACTGAGGAGGAGGCAAAACGTAATAAAATTATGAGAATGCAAAACAAACACAATTTTTTAAAATGAAATATTGTCATCAGTTTCCAATGAAAACTGAAGATCTCAGAAATGAACAGAGTCTATTCTTTCTTGTTTTGATTTTTTTTGACAATCATAATTACCGCTGTGATCGAAAAACATTGTGGTTTTTAATCGATGTAATTTTCCTTTGACAATGACAATGACAATTATATATTTTTTCAATAGTATTCAATTCTCCCGATTTGTTTGGTTAGAAAATGGAAATAATTTTTAGTCAATGCTTTATTTTTCATTACGTTTCAATTTTTCTTCTTCATATTTCGTAATTTTTTTTTCAGAATATTCTCATAAAACGTTATAATTAAAAATAAGAAACGTTATTTTTAATTATTGAAATGAAATTTGTTGGATGAAAAAAATTGTTTTTAATAGAAGAACAATTTAAGGAATTAGCATCGAAAAATCTGTGCGTAGAAGCTATTTTAGGGATGAATTAATTGAAGTTTTTTCCAATCACTTGGAATTAATTTTTTTTTTCAATAGAATTCCATTTTGAATATTCTGAAAAAGTGCATTTAATTACTAGTTTGTTTGTCGAGTTTGGTGTCTTCTAAATAACGAAGAATGAGAAATATGATTTTTAATCACTGAAATAAAATTTCTTGAATAAAAAAAAAGTTATTATTGAAAAATATTGCAAGGAATTGTTATCGAAAAATCAATGCATAAAAGTAACTTCAGGGATGGAACATTTTCAAGTTTTTTTCATCAATTATTCATTTGGAATTATTATTTTTTCAATAGTATTTAATTTTCCAGAGTCATTTAATTGGTAATGGAAATTATTCCTATTTGATTCTCTATTTTCAATTACGTTTGAATTTTTGTTCTTCATATTTTAATTTTTTTAGAATATGTTCCTCAGCTTTCCAATGTCAACATTTTCAAAAATTTTCAAACTAAAATAAGTACTAAAAATGCGAAAAAAATATTAAAAAAAGATAAAATCGTAACTTTAGCTCTTCAGACCGGGTTAATTTTGATGTAGAAATTTCAGAATATTTCTTTTGTTATACTTATGTTTCTGTGAAAAGTGCATCAGAGATCGCCAGTTCTTCATAGGAAAAAAAAATTAAACTTCAATGATGCTTTTTGCTCATCCGACAGCTTATAATGCCCTGTGAATATTCAATAAATATAGAAAAATGCATTCCAGAGTTGTAGCATTTTTCCAAGTTATAGACTTAGAACAGCTCTATAGCACGGAATTCATTCAAATAACATTATTTACCTACCGAATAATCATCTAATCAATTAAAAATCCCAAGGAGTAACTTTTTGACTTACAATTTGCAGAGACAAAGAGGAATTATGGTTTTATATCAAAAGAGTAGCATCATTAATTTCTCTTTCCAATTTTTCTCCTAGGAGGACTGGCAATCCCGTGATGCCTCGTCCACAGAAAAATGCGTATAGTAAATAAAATATCCTTGCATTTTCTCTTCAAAATTAATCCAGCCCGAAGAACCATAACATCGTTATGACGTTTTTTTGGCTAGTTTTTTTTTCATTTTTCGTGCTTACTCCCGTTTAAAATGATTAATAAATATTTTCATTGGAATGCTGAGGAAAAAATAGGAAGTTTATGTATTTCAAGAATGATCTTTCCTCTGCTAGTAACTTGTAAGTGAATAAAATCGAAAATCGATTGTCACTTGTCTTATAACTGAGCTCCTATTAGTCTTAAAAATCTGAAAAATTCATAAAAAGCCCCAAAAAATATAGAAACTGAAGGAAGAAATCTCATGAATTTATGAACATGATGAAAATTAGTAGCCCACTTGACAAAGAATCCTTCATATTTCGTTTTTTTTAGAATATTCTCTGAAAACATATAAATTCAGGTACACGTTTATTTGTCGAGTTAGATGTCTTCGAAATGAAAAAGATGAAGGTATATTATTTTTAATCATTAAAATGAAATTTTTTGAATAAAGAAAATTGTTTTCAATTGAAGACCAACTTGAGGAATCTAAAGAGCAATTGAAACTTGAGCGATAACTTGAATTTGGATAACAAAATTCCCAGGGCAAGAAAGCGGTACCTCCCCCCCCCCCCCG